TAAAAGTCCCAGGGTGTATGGGTGTGATTCCTATCTTCAAGGAGCTCACTACATAGTCTCAGGAGCTGGAACCCTAGCAAGTCGGCTTTGCTGTCACCGCGTGCTCCCAGCCAGATGCCTTTGCAGGGTTTGCTGACTCAGCCACCCACCGCAGTGGAAGCAGAAGCTGGGCTGATGACTGACTTCTGGTTTCTGGTCTGCATGGGTCTCAATGATCTCGTGCTGGGCAACATCCCAGCAGGATGGGGCTGTGTGCCCTAGGGATGGCTGGCATCTCCACAGCAGGTGAAGATTTGTGATGAGACATCAAAAACAGACTTTTGCCAGGATGCTGACTCACTCCTCCTAGCCCTTTGCAAGTAGATCCTATCTGTCTTCTGGGACGCTCTACTCAGCTCTGTAACCAGCTTGAGTCTTTATCTGCCTCACATGTGCATGCTTTGTGTGTGTGTTTGTATGTATGCATATATATAGGTATGTATGTATGTTTGAGTCATTGTTTTATTTACAAACATAGCAGAAGCTGGCTTTAAACTTGATCCCCCTGCCTCAGTCTTCTGAGTGTTAGGATTAGAGACACACATCACCACTGTGCCTACCTGTCTTTTTTTAGTTCTTTCCACTTAGGGAACAAAGAGAATAAGTAATTTTCATATAAGTAGGCATCAAATACACTAGCCGGTGATGGCGCCTGCCACTTATTAGTTTCTTCCTGGCGGGAGATCTGGCACTATTCCACATTTGTACCCTGTAACCGCCTGAGTTAGGTAAGGGAAGGGCTTGGATTTGAAAAGCAGTTCCATTTACTTTAAAGAGCAAAGCTTTTTACCTCTGTGGTTGGATAGGGAGTAGGAGACGGAGAGGCAGTGGCAGGAGAGCAGTCCAGTGAGCAGGCATTTCAGCAGGCCTCACAACTGTGAGCTGCTTATCTCGTCATCATGTGAGTGGGGTTCCTAGAGCCTCCTTGTTTGTGTGTAGTCTTGCTGCCGGGGGAAGAGTGACATTGTCCAGGGTGTTTGCTTAAGCAGATCATCTTCCGCCCGAGCATCCGATCACAGAATGGCCAAACATTGGAACTCAGCAGTGGGTCAGAATCACTTCCCCAAGACAATATGTCAGGGAGCCAAGATATTAGGCTCCCTCATATTAGGATGAAGAATTAGATGTTCCTATGAAGAAAGCAGCCCAACAGAATCATCCCGATTATAAGAGTTCTTGTGATAACCAGTGCTAAGGTCTACGGAGCTGAAGCAGAACTAGAGGAAACCATGCTTGCCCTGCAGTCCACTCCCACAGCTCTGTCAGCTGGAATCCAATCTTTGTCGTCTCAGAAGCCATCTCCTTACTGTCTTCACTGCCTCTCCTCGGCATTGCAATCCCACATTCAGTCGCTCTGCACGTTGGCTCCTTCTCCAGTTCAGATGCCTGTTCTTCCAGGGCGATGTTTTACTTCACAATGATTTCAAAAGATGTCTCAATCTGCCCGAAGATCAGGCCCTCTTCCCTCCAGCCTCACTGATGTCTCTGCCCTAGCCCTACTGAACTTCCAAGCTCAAATATCCTTCCTTGGGGCCAGCCTTCTAAGGCCCATTCTCAACTCTGGGCTTCCTTCTGTTATGGTCCTTAAAACAGCATTATTGGAGCCAGTGAGATCCTCAGCTGATAGAGGCACCTGCCACCTGGTCTGACTAGGTGAGTTTGATACCTGGGACCCACCCAGTAGGAGAGAATCATTCCTGCAAGAAGTCCTTTGGCCTCAACACACAGGCTGTAGTATGCACATACACACGGGGACACTAAATAAATAAAGTATAGTTAAAAAAGAAAAAAAAAAAAAAGCACAGTATTACATGGTTGCCTGTTTACCTGGCTCTCTCCCACTTTGATCTCTGAGGTCCTGCAGAGTCAAGAACTCTGTCTTATGTACATTGCTTTTTATGTTCTGGGGCTTAATACACACTAGGAGTTTAATAAGTGTTTGTTGATTGCGTTCATTCTTTTCTCTCAAAATTGGTAGTTAATAAAAATTCCAAGAATCAGAATGAAATTGAAGGCCAGTGTCTGAGCAGTGTAATCTAGACCTCTTCTTTAGCGCCTGGCTATTTGGTGGGGGTCTCATTTTTCTCCCTTGTGGAGACTTTCTCATTCATTCTTTCAGGAAGCAGAGAAGAGCTTCTCTGTGGAGGAGGGCTGTCAGTTGGAAGTGGGTTTTTCTTGTGGTTCAGTCACAGCTCTGAGCAGAGCCTTCCCAAGCTGGGCCTCTTTCTGGCTTCCCTTTCTGGGTGGGGAATCATCTTCAGTAGGAAATGGAACTGCTCCAAGCCAAGGCCTTTTCACTTTTAATGGTTCTTTCTGGGTTCTGCTGTTCAAGCGTCAGGAAGACTGAACCCTGTTTGAGTCTTGACAAGATCATGTTTCCTGATTTCCAAACAGTGTTTGTGTAACCTCAAGCCATGCCGAAAGCAAAGTATAGCTGTAGACAGGGTGCTGCTGGCTCTGCATCAAGTTTTCACAGTGTCGCTTGGCTGTGGGCATGTGGCATTTGAGTACGTGCCCCCTACCCTCACGTCCCACAGTGTTTAGCCACAGTGCTAACCTCCTGGAAAGTGGAAAGCATTTGACAAATTCAACAACACATATGGAGTACCTGGTGTATACACAGACAAAGGACTGTGGGTAATGCAAGGAGCTGGGGTAACCTCAGGAAGCAAATCTCTGCAGACACGAGAGCACGAGCTTTAGTCTAGGTCCAGTAGCCATGCTCCAGCCCAGAACATTAAAGGATGACACATCTTCCTCATCTCTGTTTCAGACAGCGCCGGTCTTCTTGAAACCACTCAGGAAACAGAAATCCTAATGTGTAGTGGACATGAGCCCATCAAATGAGACTGGGAGATGAGTGTTTGTGGGACTGAGGAGCTGTTCTCTTCCGTATTTGCCCACAGCGGTTGGAAATACAGGAAGGGATCCAGGTGAAGGTCGGGGCTTCAAGAATACTTAGCAGTGGAGGTGAAAGCCAGTGACTGAAGACAAAGCTGAGGTGAAAGGGGCCCAATTTTCAGGTAGAGAATTAGCTGTTGTCCCTGCACCTGCTGGGTGACGACATCATTCTAGGGCAGCATGAGATATGGAAAAGAGTGGGGAGGGCTTGAGGCAGGAAAGAGATGAAAAAAGTCTAGGTATTGAACATGTATGTTAGCGTCTACCAGAGGCACTTGCAATCTCCTTCCCACACGTGCGAGGATCCCCGGGCCTCAAGCCTCCAGCAGGTGGTAACCAGGCGGTTTTTATACCAAGCCTCACACACCCCAGTTTGGTTCTGTCTAACTGACACTTTTTGTACCACAGCTTGAAAAAGGAAAGGAGTGAAGAGTTAGTTTTTTTTCCCTTGGTTCGTTCAATGACACTCAAGCTGTAAATTTATTTAAGGGGTTACATTTTGGGGCTAATACTTCATTTTCTTCTAGTAGCATAGAAACAGCCTGGCTCTCTTGCTCTCCCTCTGTCTCTTTCTCTCTCTCGCACATGCACAAAACAAAAACAAAAAACAATTAAAATTGGTGAGTTGGTAATGTACGTGCAAAGTTAAATGGTACAAAGGATTTGGCAGGCTAGCAGGACTCTTGCACATTTATCTTTTAGCCACAGCATCTGCCTCTTAGGATTTTTATAGCTCTTTAGTGATTTCTTTGCCACTGCAGAATGAGCATTGTGGAAATCAGTTCAGCAAATAGTCCAAGGCCTGACCAAATAGTAGCCAAGGCTTGGCTGCTGGAGACTTAGTTTGGTGAATTCTAACTAAAAACTTTTATTTTCATCCTAAGCAGTCAGGCAATGCGAAAATGGTTTCAGCTCAGAAAGCTGAGAACACAGAAGTGTGTGTGTGTGTGTGTGTGTGTGTGTGTGTGTGTGTGTGTGTGTG